TACGATTTTCACTTGAACGATAATGATAAGCGACTACCACATGAATTCGCCACGAGGTCAGGATGGGTCACGTAAAGCCAGCCAGGAGATAATTATGAGTTACAGGTAATACTGATTTTGAAAGAATTATAAAAGATTAACCTAAGGAAGGAAAATGTGATACGAATAAGGAGCTTCGAGAAAAGAGAAATAACAGCTAAAAGGAAGAAGAAAAAAATAAAAATTAATTGATAGATAAATAGATAAATAAATAAAACTGGAAACATGTAAACTTGTATAAATAATTCCTCTTATCTGTTCTTTCGTTACATAAACGCTTTCCTACTCCGTCACGGTCCGCAGTATCTCCCAGGTGAATATCCGCCGATGACAACAGCTGAAGGGGGGACTCGTATATTTTCTTTTTGTTTTCCTTTTCTTTTGTCTTTTGACTCTAATTGGCTTGGAGTTTGTGGTTGTTTTCTTTGTTTCTTTCTGTGCGTTTGTTTCGGTCCAATTTTTCTCTTTATTTCTACTTTTCCTCTTACCTTTTTCTCTATATCGGTGTCTATCTATTTCTATCTTTCTATCTCACTCTCACTTTCTATCTATCTATCTATCTTTCTATCCGTATGATTGTTTGTCTGTCTATCTATCTATATGTACCAACATCTGTGCATCTACAAGTAGATATTCCTAAACCTCAATTGATATCTACATCTATACCAATGAATCAAAAATGTATAAACATAGGCCATCTTTTCCGGTGGCAATTAGGGTGACGCGACGCGGCACCAAAAGCTGTTTCGTGACTGGAGGCGAGACAGGCCGCTAAGCTCCGCCCATTTTCTATGACGTAATAGGAATGGCTGCGGTTGACGCCTTGCTATTTTATTGTACTGGTTATTTTCCCGACAAGTACACAGTGTTTTGGAATATGATATCCAAGATGGCTTTTGATATCTTGTGGTGGGTAGTGCGGTGTTGTAGATATCCAATATAAGCACGAATATGCATGAAATATCCGAAGTAGGAGGAATGCATCTTGCAACTCGATAAATGTTTACCGCCTGCTCGATTCCTGTCGCGCGA